AAAAAAAAAACCAACAAAAAACCACCCAAACACCACCCAAACTTCTACCACTGCAGGAACAGTTTCTGACTCACTGCAAAACTGTAAAAACGAGCTTTTTTTTTTTTTATATATATTAAAAAACAATTTTACATTTTACAACTTTCTACAACGCATGCACAAGGTCTCTGGGCTCTGCTGAGAGGAATCAAACCAACCCCGAAAACGGACCCCAAAAAAAAGGCTTTTTTTCTTCTTTTTCTTTTTCTTAAAACTCCCGAGTGGGAAAATTCCCCCCTCCCTGGGCCAACCCTCCGGTCTTTTTTTTGTAGGAAAACACCCCAAAACACCCCAAAAACGGGCTCCCACTGGGGGGGGGGGTGGAATTGGGTCCTTCGGCCTCAAGAGGGGAGCGGCAGGAGGGGGTCAGAAATTCCCCCAAAATGGAGATTCCCTGGAATTCGGGAAAGCCAAGCCTGGGCAGCGAGTGCTTGGGTGGGGTTGGACCCCACAGGACCCCTCCAGCACTGGGGTTTTGCTACTGGTGCTGCTGGGGAAGCCCCTCCCTCCCCCTTCCCCCCCAAATCCACACCCTTTTAGTGCTTTTTTAGGATAAACCAACCCCCAAATCCAACCCGGCTCGAGCCTCCTCGGGGTGAAATCGGCCCCTCCACGAGCAAAATGACCCCGCAGGGACCAGCCCCAAACTCCCACCGGTGTCCCTGCTGTGGCTGGATGTGGGAAAACACGGAAAAAAAGTGAAAATAAACCCATGAGGTATTTGAGACCTTTAACAGAAACCGGGAGAAGGCAAAAAGTTTTCCATGTCCCAACGTGGGAATTCCATGGGATGGCCCCAGGTCACCCAAGGGACGTTAATTAAGGACCTCGTTGACCCCTCCCAGGAGCCCCTCGGGGGCTGCAGGTCCAGGGCTGGACCCCAGGAGATGTTTTAAGCTGCTTTGCCTCCAATTCCAGCTCCGAGGACACCGGGAAGCCCCACGGAGGTGCTGCTGGAAGCGGGAATGTGGGGTCACCTCGGGAGTGGCAGAACCCACGTGGAAACACCAGACCCGACCTTCTGCTCCTCTGAAAAAAAATCAGATCTGCTAAAAAACCACCAGCAGAGGCGAGGAGGAGGAGGAGGAGGAGGCTCCTCCAGCCTGGAGTGTCCTGGAATGCCACGGGGAAGGGTTTTTGTAGCAGCCACAGAGCGTGGAGGCGTTCACAAAAATACTCCCCCCCGCCCCTAAAAACAACAAAAAAAATCTCTAGGGTTAAAAAAGCAGCCCCAAAGGCCGGGCTGGAAGTGGTTTTAAGGCCAGAGCCAGGACAGGGAGAAAAGGGGGAGGAGGCAAGAGCAGAAGGTCCCGGTGGGACCCGGTGGTGCCCCGGGGGACGCTGGTGAGGAAGGTTTGGGATTTAGCCCTTGAGTTGTGGCACCGAGTCACCGTCGCTGCTCCTTCCTTCCCCTGGGGAGATGCTACAAGGCCCTGGGTTTCAGGGAGGAGGAGGAGGAGGAGGGGGAGGAGGAGGAGAAGGGGCTCAGCCCACCCCGGGGCGGAGGGCGGGTGACCACGAGCCCGGGTGACCACGAGCCCGGGTGACCACGAGCCCAGGCGGGCGCCGGAGCCGCTTCCCGGAGTTCTGCCCAAGCTCCTTTGGGTCCTTGACCACCAAAGTCCTCGGTGACCCCCCCCTGAGGTCACCCCCGAGGTCACCCCCCGAGGTGACCTCCCCGAGCCCCGGCGGGGCCGGAGGGGAGCGGGGAGGGTCTCCCAGGTGACCCCCCCTCTGCCGCCCCCGTTCAGCTCACACCGAGGTCTCCGACTGCAGCCTCATGATGAACTTGTGCGACTTGGGGTCCACGAACTCCTCCGAGAGCTTGAAGAAGGGGATCTTCTTGGTGCTCACCACCAGGCTGAAGTCCTGGCGCTTGAGCACGAAGACCACGCCGTCCTTGAGGCCGTTGGTGACCGGCTCCTCGCTGACCAGCGTCCACTGCTTGGCCAGCCAGCGGTCCTTGTGGTACTGGATGGTGGGCCCGGCCGTCAGGTACCGCTCCAGGAACGCCTTGGGGAGGGAAGGGACACGGGAATGTCATGGGAATGTCATGGGAATGTCGCCTTCCCGTGGCTCAGCCTCGAGGGTTTTTTGCTTTTGGCAGCCTCGAGCTGCTCGGCAGGTCCTGCTGGAAAAACCTCCCTGGTTCCCACTGTGCCGATCCTGCGGGGTCACAGCCCCTTCTCTGGCTGGATCCCGGGATCACTGAGGTTGGGAAAGACCCCCAAGATCATCCAGCCCACCCTGTGCCCCATCCCCACCTTGGCCCCAGCCCAGAGCACTCAGTGCCACATCCAGGCCTTCCCTGGACACCTCCAGGGATGGGGACTCCCCCACCTCCCTGGGCAGCCCCTGCCAAGGCCTGAACACCCTTTCCAGGAGGAAATTCCTCCTCATGGCCAACCTGACCCTCCCCTGGCACAGTTTGAGGCCATTTCCCCTCCTCCTGTCCCTTGTTCCCTGGGAGCAGAACCCGACCCCACCTTGCTACAACCCCCTGTCCTTGTGTCCCCCCAGCAAAGCTGTGGCCTTGCCCCACCCTGCCCTGCCCACCTTGGGGGTCATGTCGTGGGTGATGCAGAACTCCAGGTGCTGCAGGATGCTCTCCATGGTGTGGTAGGGCTGCTGCTTGGTGGTCCTCAGGTACTTCTGCATGGCCCGGGCCATGGAGGCGAAGATGGCCTGGGCGGCCTCCCGGGGGTCCATGATCTCCCGGGGGTTCTTCTGGTCCTCCTCCTGCAGCCTCTTGATGTGGGTAAAGGCCTCTTCCACCGCCACCACCAGCCTGTGGGGACGAGAGCCAGGGACATGGACACGGTGGGATGAGAGAATCCCGGGTTTGGGGGGAGCCTCTTGCTGCCCAGCTACGGGCAGAGCCTGAATTCCACCCCAAAACAGCTCTGTGGGGGATCCTTCCACACCATGGGACAGCTGGGGATGGACTGGAAGTGCTGACCCACGGAGAGAGGAGCCCACAGAGGAGCAGGTCTGCTGGTAGAACTTATGAGGGGACCCATGTTGGAGCAGTTCCTGAAGGACTGATCCCAGACCTGGAGCAGTTCCTGAAGGACTGACCCCATAGAACACAGACCTGGAGCAGTTCCTGAAGGACTGACCCCTTGGAACACAGACCTGGAGCAGTTCCCAAAGGACTGACCCCATGGAACATGGACCTGGAGCAGTTCCCAAAGGACTGACCCCTTGGAACATGGACCTGGAGCAGTTCCTAAAGGACTGACCCCTTGGAACATGGACCTGGAGCAGTTCCTGAAGGACTGACCCTGGACCTGGAGCAGTTCCTAAAGGACTGACCCCATGGAACATGGACCTGGAGCAGTTCCTAAAGGACTGACCCCTTGGAACATGGACCTGGAGCAGTTCCCAAAGGACTGACCCCTTGGAACATGGACCTGGAGCAGTTCCTGGAGGACTGACCCCAGCCCTGGAGCAGCTCCCGAAGGCCTGACCCCACAGAACCCCCCCGTGCCCCCGTGCCCGGTGCCAGCCCCGTACCTGGCGCGGCGTTTGCGGACCCTGCGCTCGTGCTCGGCCTCCTCGTAGTAGAACTCGTTGTGGCTGTTGTCCCGGCGCCGCGCGGCCGCCGCGATCACGGCCCGGGGCTGCCCCGTCGAGTTGTTGGTGGAGTTCTCTGGGGGCGACACAGGAGGGTCAGACAAGGCCTGGGAGTCCTTGGGGTGCCTGGAGCTCCCTGGATCCCACCCCGGAGCCAGAGGGGAAGGGGAAGGGGGAGAGAGAACAAGAGGAGAAGAAGAGGGGCAGAGAAAGGAGGAGAAGAAGAGGGGCAGAGAAGGAGGAGAAGAAGAGGGGCAGAGAAAGGAGGAGAAGAAGAGGGGCAGAGAAAGGAGCTCAGCTCACCCTCGCCGAGGGAATAGACCTTAAACCCGGACATTTTCTTGGACAGGACGGATTTTGGCAGGTTGAGCAGGGCGGGGTTGTAGACCGGGAAGTCGTGGTAATAGTTCTCCAGGATCCACACGGCCGCTCGTTGGATGCTGAGGGGAGAGAGGGGCAGGAGAGGGTGGGGAGGGGACACACGGAGGGGAGGGAGGGATGGGCGGGTTTCCCAGGGAAGCTGTGGCTGCCCCCCCATCCCTGGATGTGTCCAAGGCCAGGTTGGAGCAACCTGGGATAGCAGAAGGTGTCCCTTCCCATGGGAACTGGGTGATCTTTAAGGTCCCTTCCAACCCAACCTATTCCAGGATTCCACGTGCTGGTTGAGGTGGGATACGGGGAAGAACTTGTTCCCTGTGAGGGTGGGAAGGCCCTGGCACAGGTTATTCTGGGGATGCCCCATCCCTGGAAGTGTCCAAGGCCAGGTTGGATGGGGCTTGGAGCAGCCTGGTCTGGTGGAAAGTGTCCCTGCCCATGGCAGGGAGTTGGGATGAGACAACTCTCAAGGTCCTTCCAGCCCAAACCTTTCCAGGATTCCATCAATTCACGGGACTATTAAGGTTGGAAAAGCCCTCCAAGATCCTCAGATGGGCCACTCTGTGCCCCATCCCCACCTCGTCACTCAGTGCCACGTCCACTCCTTCCCCGGACACCTCCAGGGCTGGGGACTCCCCCACCTCCCCGGGCAGCCTCTTCCAAGGTCCAACCACCCTTCCCACGAGGAGCACACACCCAACCACGCATCCACCACCGCCTCCCACTCACAGGAACGCTCCACCACCCCAAAACCCGTCGGGTACCTGAGGTGCCCGACGTTGTAGAAGCGACTGGCGCCGTCGGCCGAGCGAACGGCCTTGAGGGTGAACTGGGGCTGGAGCTGGCGCAGCTCCAGCAGCACCACGGCCAGGTAGTGCACGAAGAGCAGGGCGTCCACCAGCGACACGGCGAACTGCACCACGCCCCGGTAGTCGCGGTCCCGCGAGTCCAGGATCCGGACGCCGTAGAAGAGCCAGTAGGACACGACCAGCAGGAAGACCAGCACCATGAGCAGCGCCCGGAAGACGAAGACGCGCGGGAAGAAGGCTTTGGGGCGGCGGAAGAACAGGGCCCAGCTGCCCAGCAGGAGGATGAGGAGCTTGAAGGCCACGGAGATGAAGAGCCCCTCGCAGGGCGTCCCGCAGGGCTCCAGCTCCTCCCGCCACAGCAGCTGGGGCAGCAGCAGGAAGGCCAGGGGGGTGAGGAAGGCCAGCAGCGCCAGCGCCCCGGCCAGCGCCACGCCCAGGTGCCGGGAGCAGTCCAGGTGGGCGCTGTCCTCCATGTCCTTGGTGATGCGGGTGAGGTCATCGTGGGAGATGCTGTGCTCCGACGTCCCCGTCACCACCGTCGTGGTCTCGCCCCAGTTGTCGTCCTGAGTTACACAGGGGAGGGTTACACGGGGTGTGGGGAGGTCCGTGGCCCTCAGCAGACCCCCCAGCCCAGCTCCAAGCCCACCCACCCCACCTCATCGCCCGCAGCGCTGCCGGGTGCTGTCACCCCCATTTTGGGGTGGTGGGACCCCAGCCCGGGCTGGGGGCAGGCAGGGATTTGGGTGGGACCCTCTGGAAAACCCCACGCCGGGGCTCCTCTCCGCGCTCCGGCACCGGCGAGAGCGGCTCCGGGAGTGGGAAGTCTCCTCCTCATTGGTGGGGCCAGAAGGAACATGCCCAGCTCGTGTCCCAACACACCCGGGAAGGAGTCCCTGGGATCCCAGCAGGTCTCCTCCTCCTCCTCCTCCTCCTCCTCCTCCTCCTCCTCCCCAGAACCTCCTCCTGCGGCCGCAGCGGTGCCCAAACCACCCGGTCCCGTTTGATCCCTTCCCACACGTCTGTCCCTGTGTCCATCCCCTCCCTCAGCCCTTCACACCCTGGTTTGCAGCACTTGGACCCCTCTGAAACCAGAGGGTTATCATCATCATGTAGGTTTTCCCATGGATTTCTTCAGGAAAGCCGGGAAATTCCTCCCTGTGAGGGGTGGGGAGGCCCTGGAAAAGGTTTTCCAGAGAAGTTGTGGCTTCCCTATCCCTGGAAGTGTCCAAGGCCGGGCTGGACAGGGCTTGGAGCCACCTGGGGCTGGTGGGAGGTGTCCTTGCCCACGGCACGGGGTGGGACTGGAGGAGCTTAAAGATCCCTCCCAACCCAAACCATTCCACGATTCTGTGAATTTTATTTCAAGTTCAACCAAATCCTCGTCCCGGGGCTTTCCAGAGGGACGGGAAGCAGAGGGTTTGGGAGGCCTAAATCCAGCCCATCCCCAGGAGAGCCCTGGATGCCGCGGCCGGACGGGGCAGGCTCAGCCGGCGCCGGCTCCTGGGAGAGGGAGGATGAAAAGAGCCGAAAAGAGCCGGAGCCGCCGGCGTGGGCGGCTGGGAGGGGATGAAAGCCCGGGATCAGGCTCCGCCGAGTCCCGAGGAATCCATCCCAGCACCCACGGAGGGCACGAGGGACCCCTGTGGGCCGGGGAGAGGCACGACACGGAGCCTCCTCCGCGATCCCGCCGGGAACCGGGATGGGGAACCGGGATGGGGAACCGGGATGGGGAACCGGGATGGGGCATCGCCCCCCGGGCGCGGTGCTGATCCCCGGGGAGGGCATCCCTAGGGATCGGATCCCTGGGGGTGTTTTCCAGCCCGTGCTGAGCCCCGGGGGCACCGCGACAGCCGGTCCCCCCTTTCATTTGCCCCGGCCCGACCTAACCGGCTCGACCGCTCCGCCGGGAAGCCCCGGGCGTGCCGGGAGAGCCCCTGCCAGCGGCTCCCACCCTCGGCAGCTCCCCCGGGGGCGGCACAGAGGTGCCAGCCCCGTCCTGCCCACCCCCCCTTGCCCCACTCACCCTCTCGTCCCCCCGGGTGGACTCGTTGTCCAAGAGGGGCTCTCCCGGCGCTTGGATGGTCACGGATTTATCCCCCCGGCTCCCGTCCCGGCTCTTGGAGCGATGCCGGTCCCGCCGGTCCCTGGAAGGCAAGAGAGGGTTGCAGGGAGGGCAGGGGGGGGGGTGGCAGCGCCCGCCGGGGCCGGGGGGACCCCTGGAGCCCTCACCTGTGCTTGCGGGAGCTGCGGGAATGCCCGGATTTGTAGGAATATCCCGAGTACTGCGACTCATTGTCCATGTTGTCGGAGCGCCGGGGTTTGTGCCGCTCCAGGCCGGGGGCTTTGGATCTGCCCGGCCCCGGGACGGCGGGCAGGGCCTCCTTCAGGGGGGGCTTCTTCAGGCCCAGGGGCACCTTCAAGAAGTCGACCGTCACCTTGAGGGTCTCTATTTTGATCACCTGGTCGGGCTCTTCTCAGGAGAAAAGGACTCGCCCACCTGCGGGGACGGAGGGAGGGGAGGCTCAGCGGCGGCATCCCGGCATTCCCACAGGGAATATCCCGGCATTCCCACAGGGAATATCCCAGCGAAGGGTCCCATCCCCTGCAGCCCCGGCAGCAGCAGGGGCGGGACAGCAGCGGGAAAAGGGATTTTGGGTCATTTTGGGCATTTTCGGGTTCATCCCGTGCCCGGGCTGGGGCCGGGCTGGCCGCCCTTCCCCCCAATTACCTGCTGGGATTTACACCTTAATTAACCCCGCCATCATTAGTTTAACTGCCAAGACAATGCCCGGGGTGGGGGCCCGAAGGAAGGGGAGGAATAACCGGGTGCAGACGAGGATCCAGGCCCAGCCGGGCGGGGGGAGCTCTGCCCGGACACGTTCCCTGCGCCGGGATCCCACACCCAGGAGAGCCCCGTGTCCGGGAGCAGC